TTCTTATTTCCCCTGTTTCCTTTTCATTTATGAACTTCCTTCCGCAGTTTTACATTTTCCGAGCTCGCTGTCCATTTTCCTGTCTACTTTTAAGTACCACTTTCCACCCCCTCCTATTTCCCTTTGTTCCAGGAAACGAGTCGACGTATCTCGATCCCATCCCTCTGTCTCTCTCTACTCGAAATGAAGTTGTTCCGCTTGCACGGGAGGGAGGGGGAGGGGAATCTTCCCTTTCGAACGTCCATTCCATCGGACTATGCCACTTCGGCCTCAATTATCCTGCTGAGCCGCAAAAATTCGACCAACGAATCCAATTTATCCGATCAGAAGCGGAATGCTCAGATCCTGTCTCTCGTTTCTCAACTTCCCTCGACTTTTTTCTTTCTTTCTTCCTCTCTCTTTCCATCCGGCTTATTCCATTGCTCGCCCTTCCTTTTATTTCGTGGCCTGTTACCACCTTCCAGTGTTTTATCTTTCAGCCCGGTTTATTCCAGCTTACCGTCATTTTATAAGCCGGCCAAAGCGAAGCAAGACAGACTATTCTTAAAAGTGGGATAGTGGGATAGTGGGTGTTTAGCAAGAAGTGTTTGAAGTGATTGTAATATTGGAGGGATCTGATTGTGAGATAATCGATACTCTTTCTCTCTTTTTTTTCTCTTTACTTCTTTTTCTTTCTTTCTTTGATTTTACAACTTTTGCCTTTATCCCTCTTTGAATCCTTCTTGCCTAGGGGTACTTTAGGATTTGATACAGGATTGATCAACTTTTCTTTGTCTTTCTGTTTCTTTGATATTCCTCGGATCCTTTCCCTTATTGGATTGCTTTGTTTTGGAGGTTAGGTTAGAAATCTATACTTTTCTTTCTTTCTCTTTTTTCCTTCGACATTTCCTAAATTCTTTTTGCACGATTTAATTGATGTTATTAGTCAGACTTTACATGCCACGAGTTAATACATTTTCTATTATAATGAGTTTATTAATAAAATGAATGAAATTTTACACGTAAATTTTAAAAAACAGGATCTTCATTAACTGGTTTAAAAGAGGGACGAACGTTTTGAATATTCACTCATTAATATGTAAAATCTAGCAGAAAAGAAATAGAATTTCGAAGGAATACGAGTTTAGTGTCTATAAAGAAGAATAAAGAATAATTGTAGATCAAAATTAAATCAAGACTGGCATTAATTACTTACATCAACTGATATTTGTGATTAATGATCGATAAGACGTCCAATTATCTTCACGAGCATCTTTCCTCCATCGATTTTTAAACAATTCCCTTCGAATCGTTTTAGAAACATGCCGTATCGTTCCTCAGCAACGTCCATTTTTCCTCTCACGGTTTGATGATTTACAAGCTAGAGCCTATGACGATGAAACCGTGCAACGTCCAAGACGAGTTCCCCCCTCTTTCCTGTTCCCTTTGATGTGCGTCGAAATCGTCATTTCGTCCTGCATCGTCTGCTCGGTCTTTTTTTATTCTTTGGCTGACCATTCGACGAACGTTGCCTTCCGCCGTGGCTGAATACGCCGCGTTCGTGATCTGCCATCACGAAAAAAAAAAAAAGGAACCTGTTCTTTGTGAAAAATCCTGTGATGGTGGACCCCTGGTGGTCGCGCAGAGGAAAATATTTTCGCCATTCAAGCCACCATCGACCATAGCCACTGTTAATATTCGTAAGCATCCGGTCTCGATGTATGGCGCCGAGCTCTTCTATCCAGATGATTACAACGCGTTGCTTTTCTACTCCACGCCGGAGATGAACTGTGCACGATGTACACAATAATGGCTTCGTGTAATTTTTGCCAAGCTCTTGCGACGAGTTTTCTTTTTTTTTTTTTATAGAAGTAAAAATATCTTTTCTTTTTGATTGTTCTTCCTATATTTCTGCGTGCAATCTGTTGGCGAATTTTTTACGAATTATTAACGAATCTTAAGAATTAAAGGGTATATATTCACAGTTTGGAGGATCGAAACAAAAATTGGTATATAAAAATAGTTAAGGCTTATTTATTATGTAAATTAGATGAACTGAGCAAATCAATTGAAGATTCTTTCTTTCGTTTTCTCTTGAAAACTTCGATTGCTTACAAATTGATAAGTAAGCCTTAACATTACGTTTTATTTTGAATAAAATATATATAGTTATTCTATAATAGATACTTTTCGTATTTTTTTTAAAACTATTCGTGTTATTTGTTATACATCATCTTCGTCATAAATTTCGATTATTAAATCCGTAGAATATGTTCGAATATTTTCGTGGCCAATATATATATCACATTACGGCAGATCGAATCAGCTCGAAATCAACTTCTCCTCCTTTCCGTTCTTTCCCTTTTCCATCGTGGCGGTTTTATTTCTTTCGGCATTCACCCAACGACGGATTTTCCCAATGCAAGCTTCGTGACACCGTAGTTCACGAAAGTAGCAGGAACGTAGCCAATTTCCCCGATCTCACGCTGAATACTTGAATACTTCTTTCCAGCTCTCTTCTTTGTTTCCCTCTGCTTTCACCTTTTATCCCTCCGGTTGTCCGATTTAAACGATTCTCCCGACGTCATTGAGGGAAAATCTTAACTTCGAGAAAGAGAGAGAGGTTACTTCGCGTCTCCCATTTAATTTACATCGAGACCATGGCTTGTGGCACTCGCGGGGATGGGTTTTCTTTACCGACACGTACTTTCGGCCCACTTGGAGACTGCTATTACACTATTGTTTGAAAGGAGGAGATAAAAAATTCTTAACAGAGTTAATCCAATCTTTTGGGCAAAGTTTCATCGCCGTGAATTTTTCCCCTCTTTTCTGTATTATTATTTAAGAATTTATTTGTAGTTCGATCGATCAATATCATTCCAAAGACGCGTCGATTAATTCGATTCGAAGGAATAAGATGATTAGTTTGATTTAAAATCCGGTGAATAGACGTCTAACCAAGAATGTTCGCGCGAACGTTTCTCGAACGAACAAACTTCTCGAGTTTGGAATTCCTCTGGTAGTAGCAACAGTAAAATTGAATTTCCCTAAAACTGCCTTTGAAATGGTACCGGTAACTTTAATTATTTAAATCACCTGTTTCTGCTCCCAAAGGATGGAACATAATGCCGGAGCAATTTAACGTTTCCAAGATGGATGTCGTATTATTTTTTCAATTAAAATGAATACACGTAATTTTAAAATCGTTCTATTATTACCAGCTTACTTTCCAGAAATCTTTTATTGCGTTTTTGAACGTTTCATTTCGAAAAATATTTTAAATAAAAACGATCTTTAATGTGTTTAATTATTTAGTTCTTTAAAAGATCAATGATGGTATAATTCTAATAAAAATTATGCTACAATCATTATCTGATTTCGTATATTATAATCTTAACTTGTAATATATCTATAATGTTTCAAAAACTTATTATACTTCATGCTTATATTAAATTAATAATATAAGAATCGAAGAAAACTAATTATAGCAATTCTTGTTCTCTCCACACTTAAAGCATATCACTTACTCAATGACCTCTTTTCTAAACTCGATTCGCGCCAAGAACCAAGCCAATTCCTTTGGCATTCCCTTGCGACTACTTAACTCGTCTCATTTCGACCTTTTGTCCCACTACTTCCATTTCCTCCTCCCCCAATTCAAATAAATCCATTTCTCGAAACGAATCCTTTTCCCTCCACATCGTGTTTACTGTCTTTATTTTTTGTGCTCTACTACGATTGCGCCTATTTGAACTATATTACATCAATCACGATTTGAACATAGCACACGAGAATTTCAATAGCGATATTAATTACAATTTTTACAAGTTTTGGCCTTTCTCGTATTATTTGTTCATATTTACCTATCTTATCATGTTTCAAGGCATAATTTTCAAGTTTAAGAGTTAATATGTCATGATTATAGAAAAATATAATAATTTTAATATTCGAGAAGTAAAAAAGTAACGAATAATTATTGCGAATCTTAGAATATTAATAGTTAATAGTCACGTGGCGCTAGTGTCGTTATTGTATGTTATATCAAATCGTTATTGTATTATTAATTAAAATTATAACCTACGAAGAATAATTTTTACGCATATAAAATACATAATATATAATATAAAGTTCTTTTCATAACTTTTCAATGAGTAAATTGGAAAAACTTTTCCCATTTAAAGTTTTCTTTTTTATAAATGATTTTAATACAAAGGCGCAGAAATAGAAATGAAATACGGAACACAGAAACACAGATAGTTAGTCTAGCATTAAAAAAAAAAAAAAGAAGGAAAACAGAAAGTTCGATAAAACGTGTTCTTTTTTTTCTTTTTTTGAAACGTATATAGTTTGAGGATGCTTTCGGAATAAATCGTATACAATGAGCGCGTTAATGTGTGTGGAAATGTATCAAACCGCGTCGAAACGAGTGCGTGAACAGATTGACAAACAAAGTTAACGAAGTTGACGGAATAAACGATACAGGCAAATATTACTGGATATAGAGGGATAAACGAATGTGGAACATTCGGAAAACTGCGGATAAGTTTTGTCAATAAACTCATTTTTGCATCACTGATTCTTTTATGGTATATGGGATACTGGAAATGAAAATAGTGTACCATTGATGTACACTTAATTATATACAATTTGATCTTTTTTTACTTTTCTTAATCAAAAATAGTTGTATCGATGTGTTATATAGAAAAGAAAGATAGTGCAACTAGTAAAACTGGTAAATTTTTAAAGATATACAAAATATATTTTTTTAAAATTTCCAATATCGTAGTGAAATTTAATATTTCGTGAGTGCCTAATCATCTGAAACGATTGAAATATATTTATCATGGTTCAAATTGATTATTAACTTTACCATCGAACGAAACAGAAACGCAATGATAGAAGTAGGAGGAACTATTAAAGATAACATACGTTCCATGATAATTTTCAGACGTTCCAGACGAATTTGACGATGCGGGTTTAACTTTACGATAGCCGTAAAAGTGAATTATTGCGGTACTTACCGTTGATGTGAAGATTCACGTGAATATACTTGGGCGGATGAGTGCTGACTTGGCACTCGTACTGGCCCTCGTCGCTACTGTTCACCGGTTGGATTTGTAGACGCCAGTTATCCGGGTATTGGAACTTCACCGTGTACCTTGGGTCTCCTATGTACGTCTGCTGACCCACTGTCAGCAAATTTACCTTTTCCCCATTGTCTTGCCTGCGTACCCAAGACACCTGCCGACACAAATTATTTTCATGTTAGTTTTATTTAGTTTTTTTTTTGGATCAAATTTTGGGGACAGAGTTTGTTACGTTTTAGATTAGAAGGAATATTGGATGATATTAATTTTGCACGACATTTGCATAATCTCGATAAATGGGTGACAATTACCACGATTTTCGGATCCTCTGTTCCAGACACTTGACAAATCTTTCTAATTCTAACTTCTAATGACTAAGTTTCGGCGATTTGCCGCTAGATGTCTTGTTAAGTTCTACTTTCTCGAAAATGTCTTGTACAAATGACAAATTATTTCAAATAAATGTTTATATATTCGTTTACTTTTAAAAATATTCATCAAAATCCTTTAATTTATCTTTACAAATTTTTTAATAGTTTCAAAATGATACTTTCAAATATTTGCAAATGAAACGATTGAATTTTTTGATATAAATTTTGACACTTATATTTTTATTGGAAAGAATGTATATTAATTTAAAATTTGGCTCAATAAATTCAACGTAGAAAAACAATCAATCAATTAATTTGCAACAATCATCGACATATTTCCTAATATAAATATCCCCTTCGTTATCATCAAACGAATCTCAACTTTTGAATATTATTGTGTAATATAAAACTGAACGAGATCATAAGATGTTAAAGCATAGAAAATTGAAGGGAAACGTGCTATGAGTAAATCATGCATAAGATAATACTCTGATAAACAAGGATCCGAAATCCACAGATTATTCATATAACTGGAATTGGATAGTATTTCCCGGTATTCCCCATTAAATGTGCGCGATATCGTACATCTTCGACATGGATATCAAGCCCGTTATTATCCGCTCAACAGAGATTGCCGCCTATGGACAGCTATCAATGGCGCGTGTGATCGCTACCGATCGTGATCGATTGCTTTTGGCTACCTTTATAACTAGAACATGAAACATTTTGTAGAAAATTCCGATCGACATTGTCTGCTATTGATTTATTTTTTTTTCTGTTTCAATCCTTAAATCTTATTCCCAACGAGGCATACATATTTTTTCAATACAATATATTGTTTTATTATTTGTAAAACGTTTGTTTTTTGCTTTCCAAGTCAAAATTTTCAAAATTATCTTTTAGTATTTATTTTTCTAGAGATTTTTTTTTGATATAAATAATTAATGTCTAACTTAATTTTAAACTTAATTTTAAACTTTTTCTTTAAAAATATCTCAATCGATTTGATACTCGATCACGCACTGATGGACGGAGCCAAGAATGTTTGGCGGCAAATTCAAATAACGTATAATAATAAATATCGTCCTAAGTCGAGTTGTGTGCATTTTCAAGATAATCATGCATGGATAATCGCGTTAGCCGACATTGTTGTTAGCAATATTAACAACAGCAACGACATTAATAGCCTAATATCACTCTGAGGCGAGCTCGACCGTGGTTCAGCCAAGTGCGATGCTTTTAGGATATAACTATTGTCCTACGAGTTTCTGCAGAGTTAGACATCGTTTCCCTATTTCAAAATGGAGTTGGTAAATTCTGAAAAGATAGATGTCGCTGAATATCACCCAAGAAACATAAGTATCGAATTTATCTCAGTTGCTCCATTGCAAACTAATTTTTTCCTCCTAATGGTTACATCATGTGCTTGATCGATTGACGAAAAATATTGATTTGAGGAATTTTTTTCATAAGAATAAAATTTCATCGATAATTATTAAAATTTATTTCATTGTCAATTTAAAATTATACCATAATCACTTCTATAAATCGATAATATTTGGCAAAACTTTTCAATACGATTCCAATTCGAAGTGAAATCGAAGAAAACTTTCCTTGGCTGAAATTTTAATTATTAATCATTTTTTTGAAGAAAATAAAAGAGAAGAATCCAGAGGACGATATCTGCCAATATATATATATTTGTCGCACGAATTGATAATCGAAACGGGAAACGATCAAATTCACGCGACGTGGATGTCAACGATTACGAGGGAAATTCACGCGAAATCTAGCCGGCAGCGATAATTCCTGTTCAACCACACCGGCACGCGCATAACGAGGCCGGATATTAAATTAATTCGAACGGCGCGATTGTTCCAACTGCGGTAGACGTGTCTAGTTTCCGGAAGTGGCGTCACACCCGAGATCTAAGACCGGTGGCGGACGCAAAGAAATTAATTAGAATAAATCGTGGCCACCCATCTTCGTCTGAAACCACCGTTGCCACCGTTTACAAGATTAATTGTGAATTATAGCCTTTCTAATTTCCCGATGGGGGGGGGGAATAAGCTGGCGAAATACGAGACCTTGACTGTTAAACTGTTAAGATATGCAAAACGATGGAGAATATATGGAAAAGGTATGTAAAACAATGGAGATATATGCGAGGGTGTAAAAGTATACAGAAACACGTGAAAATATACAACATCTTTCCCCCTTCCCCCACTTTTGCATATTATACAAATGTTTTCCATACTTTTGCATACACTTTGCATAAATTTACATATATTTTGACGTGTTTTGCATATTTTCGTTGAATGATACCTAAGAATGAGTATTTGTGGAAAATTTATAAAGAAATTTAGTATCAATTAAGAAGCGAATCGAGGAATTGAGTGTTAATTGAGCAAGAAAGTTTCTAAAAACGTTATTTTAATGTATCCATCTAAAAGAACAACGAAAACAAAACCTCAAGAATATTGTTATTCAAAAATGACAAGAAATTTTGTACCAACTCTTCTTTATGTACACTACGTTTCTACTTATACGATCATATTTTTACAATTAATTTTATCAATGTACAGAACAGAAAAAATATGCATTCGATAATCACAATCTTCTAAAGAATTATCAATAGGAGAAAAAAACTTAAGGAAGGAAGAGACTCACGGTTTTATCTTGTAGCAAGGATATCCTGCAGTCAAGCAGGGCGCTACCGCCAGCCTGTACCGTCATATTCTTGCTTTCTCCCTCGAAATGGGGGCCCCACCTGTGATCGTGATGGTGTTGATGTTTGTTCAGCGTGCTGTGCGCATCGAAAATGTAGTTCAACATCGGCGCATCCGTCGGTACCGATCGCTTTGCCGCCGTCGTCGATTTCGTTGATATTGAATCTGTTATTATTGATAGATCTGTAACAATTAAAGATCGTGAAAAGTTAATATATATAGTAATAAATACCTTTCTACAATAATATTAAATTCTTTTAAACTTCTTTGAAAATTAATCTATTCATTGTCGTGAATAAATTAAACGTATCACGCAACACACTTTCAATTAGTTTCTCTCTTCAAATTTTAAAAACTTTTCTTTTTTCTTCCATTACGAATTTTTTATCAACTCGATATCAACGTTCGATTTTTTTTTTTGTTATTTATTCGAAAACGTTGCACGATTTATTAGATATGTTGCATGCAGCCGTTGATCGGATATCTTGTCGCGATACTCTCCAGTCTCTAGAGATCTCCGTTTCCCGATGTTTACAAGTATTGGACAGACAATTGACAACTGACGGTACATATTGGTACATACGTATTCCTGTACGTCTGTAATCATTGAATGAATATACACATCGTAGCTCGGGAATAATTATGCATCTCGTGAAAGAATTTTGACCTATATAGGCAGAAAAATGTAGGATTCATATTATTTTTTTCATATTATTATTTTTAATTATTACAACGAGAATTCTCGATTAAAAATAAGGAAACAAACATTTTGAAAAATAATTGAGAAAGTATACAAGAAAGCATACACATACGTTTCTCTTTATATAAAAGTGTTAAAATTCTCTGAAATCAATAAGATCAATCTTTCGTTCACTGATCTGACGATTTGATTCGATATAATCATTTATCAAGTCGATTTACAAGCATAGATACACTCACTTTAGATCATGCTCATTTTTTATAAATAATTTTTATATCACCTTTATATCTTGATCCATATATTTTACCATTACGTGCACACATAGATGGAAACAATTCTGGGTCTAAGGTTAGATTCGTCCAATTTATCGTTGCTGAACGAGCCAAGAGATACGCGAAACAGGTAAGCACGAGAGTTTGATGTCAGGCTATTGGAAGGATGCGATATTTCTTCGATCGCGTGCAGCGCATCGGAAAACAATAAGTACGTATATTGCTTAGATATTTGTCTGCTCGTATCCTCAGAACGACGTGTACGATGCGTCACTTAAATATAAATTTGAACGTTGTTGGATTGTACACTTGGAAAATTTTCACTTATTTGTTCGTTTTATCTTTCGTCGTTTAAACCTTTCGCTCTCGTGCCACTGAAAATTTTAACCGAGTTCAATTTGTTTTATCAGGGTTTTTATCAGGCCTCGAGGTCGAAGTTTGAGATAAAAGTTATGCAAATTTTTATAACGAAGAGAGAATGTAAAGTTGTACATTCGAAATACACGAAAATAAAGTTCGAAATGAAAATTTTTTCCAAAGGAAAATTTTGATTGAAATTATCTCAGGAATCTTCGAATAAATTTCCATATATTTCTACTATTTTGAAAAATTGTAATTCTGAAACGAAATCTTTGAAACTATTTATGAATTTGTTATTAATTAAGTGCCTATTTAACAATGATATATTGAAATATATTTTAATCCCCTTCTCACCAACAAACTGTTTATAGATCGCGTATAAAAATTCAAAGACTTTTTAAGTATTTGTCTGGTACGAAGTATAGAATAAATACGTTAAAGAAACTTTAAGGAAATGTTCTTCAAGAAATTATAACTTATATATTCTTTCTGTAAGTTACATTTAAATAAAAATTGCAATTGCAAAATGAAATTAATAATTATTGATTGAGATTCTTAATAATCCTAATTCTAAACATAATTTAATACCATTCTAAAAAAAAAAAAAATACATCACCATCAAGTAACTTCAACATTTACCTATTATTACAAACTACAAGAAAAACACTTCCAAAACAAATATTAATCATCTAATTAAACATGGGTCAGATCAAACTTAAACCTCGTTACACCATCACAAGCAGATCCTCCCAATAGAAAAACTCGGCAAAGATCATCCATTTCTTTCTCCCCGCCCATTGATTCCTCTTCAAACGTTCGCCCGCCATTCCCCACCCGATCTTTTCTCTTTGCTTCCGTCGTGGAAATTTTGCCACGACCCAGAGGGAAGGAAAACTGATCGGGAATTCCGGTGGAACCGTTGAAAGCGTGTTCCGGATACCGACGAAGAAGCCGTGGTATCCCTTCTTGCCTTGGCAAGAATATGAAAATCGTTATAGGTCGTATCGATCCACCCCCTGGATCGAGGCCACCCCCTTTTTACACCCCTGTGTACGGGAATATTTAAATAACCGGTCAAATTTTTCCATCAGATCGAAAGAAATTCACGATACGTTTTCAATCAAAAGAGTTTTTTATATTTCTTGTTTAAATATTTAGTTCAAAGGATGGTTTCTTTTGAGGAATTTTATCCATATTTTTCTTTGGATCGTGTGAATTAATGATTGATAATAAATGAAACGAATACGAAACAGTTTGGTTACTTCTAAATTTCCTTTTGTGAAAAAATTGAAACGTTTGAACTAACATATTTCTTTTTTACGTAATAAACATTTATATTTGAAAACTCTTCAATTTTTAATCGTTTCACGACACGTATATTTCTATTACACAAAAATTTTCTCTTTAACTCCGCTAAGGAGATTAAAAAAATCTGAAATTCAGAAGAAAAAAAACAATGCAAAATTATTATTTTTCGCGTATTCGCGTTATCAAAAACTCTGTTCATCATCAGAATCCAAAATCTCAACCAGTTTTCTATTCACGATTGTGCGTCGACCAATTAGAGATAGTGATTTTCGTCTCTCCCCGATTTTTCGATCGGATCACCCCGGATTTTATCGAGTAATCACCCCGAGCTATCTCGCGGATATTTTTTTTTTTTTCTCCCTTCCCTCCTCCTTTCTCCACTCGAAGAGCGGAGGCACAATCAACGCAGCTATCCCCAGCCAGGCGTCGAGACTTAGCAATCGACCTATTTTTTTCGCGATTCGCAAACATTCGAGACTTCTGACTTGGCGCTTTCCCCTCTCTCCATCGCGTGCATTATTCCGCATCGTCGGGGGGATGGAAACGAAGTTTCAGAAATACGAGATTAAGTCCAATTCGAGATCTAATGATCGTTCGCCCGTCGAAAGCTCCCTTTTTTTTTTTTCGACGAAAATAAATCGACTTCGTATCCGTTTTTTTGTTGCCGGTTTGCGTAGTATTTCGCGAGTAGATACGGATTTCGAAAAATCGATTAGGATTGGTGGGCCGGGGATGCTTTGAGAGAAAATTGAATTCCTTTGTGTTCGCAAGTGGACGATGCACGAGAGTCAATAACATCGATGTTAATCTCAAATCTCATAACATTAGAATCCCCCTTTATCGTGCCTCCAAGATATATATCATTTTTAATTTATTCAAAACTGGGTATGAGTGAGAACAACATTCGAAGATAATATATATTATTCGAATCGTAGTTTTTTCGAAGGAATCGAAAAGGATTTCACTTACTTCCAAATATAAATGTCGAAGAGACCCGCGTAATTAGTCTTCGCGCGTCTCCTCTGTTCCATCGAACACGGTTACGTCGTAATTCGAGCGAGTCCGGCTAACCACGGTAAATAATTCCGATTCGAGGCACACAACCAGTAACGCGCTCATGTTTTATGCATAAACCGGATCCCGCGGACCGCCGCCACGCGTTACACGTCGTTCTAGCTTCTAGCCCGAATCACGGATCTCGCCGCCACTTAAACGCGTATCGGTCCCTGTGTGCCCTCTCGACACACTGCTTCACCCTTTAATATGCGTTCACGCGGCATCCCGCACCACCCCCGTGCGCGAGATGCTCCCTCCCGTTATATGAACCGTGGTGTTTGGCCCAGGTTATTGGATGTGTAATTGTACCGAGTGGGAGAGCGAGAGTTGCCCCAGTTCGATCGATAAAAAAAAATCGTTTTACTTTTAGGGGGACGAATTTAATTATTTATTTCGAGGATGGGTAACAGTTGATGAAACAAGAAAGAGGATCGTTTTCTTTCAAATATTTTTAAGCTTCCTTCGAAACTTCTTTCGATTTTTGTTAGCCTGTTCACCTCTCGTGATTCTTTATCTGCAAATGGAAGTTGAAGATAATTTACAAGTGAGGCATTTGAGAAAAGGAAATATGAATATGTATATATATATCTTGGTTGTTATCGTATAGAAATGGTAAATGGTCAGATCGAACTTGCACGGTATCGAAAGATACGTAATTTAATCCGATTAATTATGATTTTTATGTATATCATCAATTTTTTTCAAATGGAAGAGCGTTTATTCTAAATTGTTGCTAGTTATATGTTATAAGTTATGCGTGACGAATAAGCTTGAATGTACCCGTATATCCTTAGTTGTGACACATTCAATGTCCGTTATAGTGTTTCATTGGACTGTATACGAGTAGTCATACAGAGTTACAGAGTTATCAGATGCTGTGACTATTCATGCAACAAATATCGCATCAACTATTTATTCGATATTTGTGTTTTAATGGCAGGGAGATATGTTATACGAATAAAGAGAAAAAAATATATAAATTTTCTAAAAATAATCCGAGAAACTTTTGGTACGTAATTTAAAAGAATTACTGTTTTGATTGTATGTATGAAGATTCTTCTCTCGTCACTTTGCATCGTTTCAAATTTAGGCCAGATATAATTTAATTTATCATTTGAGTATTATCCTTCTACACGTCGCGTTTATTTTTCAACTTTCCACGATTTTCCCCGCGATAACTCGAGTTTATAGCGTCTGAAGAATGACAGAAGTGCTCGACGAAAACTTTGAATCCAATGAAACTCGCGATACGTTGCAAGATTGGGACACGAAATCGACGATGGGGATCGTGAAACTTAAATAGAATGCGCCGTTTCGACGAGATCAATTTAACAAATTTGTTTCTGCGAAACTTGAGGCGAGTCTCGCGGGACCGACATTCGGCCCAAGTTCTTCCATCGATAAAATTATTTTCGATAAATCAAGTCAGATGCCAGCGATGCTCGACGATAAATTAATTGCAAGGAACATAAATTCTTGAATTGTTT